TTCCTCCTGAAATCGAAGACCACCCTCCCCAATCCGCCTATTGACGGCGGCGGTTGAGAAGGTCGTGATCAGGTAAGAGCCGCGGCCAGAGGTTTGTACGGCGGGTAACGACGGCTGATTCAGCAATTTTGATGCTTCTCGGCGACCCAACTCTTCTCTTTACTAGCCATGTCGGGTAACAATGGCGGATCGAAGATTACAACGTCTGACAAGCCTAGTGATTTCGAAATCGAGATTGATTGGCAAACGAATTGATTCCGACTTTGGACTTCACATTTTTTAGGTTTATTATAGTTTTATCTTCACATATGGTTGATTCAGATCAAGGCGGGTATGGTTCAGATCAGGCGAAGAAGTGGACCAACATCATCAGACCGTTGAGCTCCTGCCGATTTGTCTCTTTTGCAATTGGGCCGAATGTATAATATATGTATAGTATATCTACAGTATATGTACAGTATATATTCACGGCAGTATGTTCAACTATATATGTTGCGTGTATAGGTAGGCAGTATATGTGGTGTTTTTCGGACTGACCTTCAAGTCAGTACGGTGAAAAAGTACGGTGGGAAAAGTGTTCACTTTTCACGTTGAAGATGAAACCACAGTAGATGATTCAGAAGGAAAGTTTTGACAGTATATGTTGTGTATATAGACAGTATATAGGCAATATATTCACAAGATCCAGATTATCGACAGTATATGTTGTGTATATAGGCAGTATATTTTTAGTATATATTTTTGTAGACAAAATCACATATATGTTTAGTTTATAAAACATGTTAATGTGGTTATAGTTAGTATATTTTTAATATATATTGCGTTTTTTTGTACAAGGAGGACATTGAAATATTTTTCCGTATATGTTGTGGTTATAGTTAGTATATTTTTAATATATATTGCGTTTTTTTGTACATAACATGTAATAATTCGGTTTATACTTGGTTTATAATCTATAACAATTTATATAACATATCAATATATATATAGAGTTTTCAGTTTTTTATTTTCTTATCGTATATGCAGCCACAATATAAATAATATTATTAATTTCTAATAGTATTAATAGATAATTTATAATAAAAAATAAAATTACTTTTATTTTTGTATATACAATATAGATGTCAAATTAAACCTCATCAAAAGATGATTAATTCGATATATTATATATAAAAAATTAATAACAAACAAAAAAGTTATTAAGTTTTGAAAATTGTTGTTTTTTTTTTTGTTTTTTTTTATGAATAGAAGTTACCTAAAAAAATGGAACTGAATCCGTTTTATTATGATAATTTGAAAATTGTTGTTTATTTTTTATTTTTTTTTATGAATAGGAGTTACCTAAAAAAATAGAACTGAATCCGTTTTATTATGATAACACATAATTTCGCATTAAGACAAATAATATACACTGATTTCGTAGGGTTGCAAATATTTTATCCTTAATTGTAGGTTTGCAATTATCTGTAAATCACGTAGGATGTGTGTAAATTTCCCTTAACAATATGACGGCAGTGTTGTTAAGGAAAATGACTTGGTTGATGTGTTAAGTATCTACTTTGAGTTAGGCTGTAAACGAGTCAAGCCGAGCTCGAGCTCGAGTCCTTAACGAGTCGAGCTGAGTTCGGCTCGTTAAATAAATGAGTCAGAATTCGAGCTCGAGCTCGTTTATCACTATTAACAAGTCGAGTTCGAGCCAATCTCGAGCTTTAACGAGCTGAACTGTAAAAAATTATATAAATTTTCTCTTTCCGTGCCGAGCTCGTTAACCAAACGAGCTTTAAATGAGCTCGAGCTTGGCTCGTTAAGGCCTGGAGCTCGTGCCGAACTCGAGCCACAAGCCAGCCTGAGCCAGACTCGTTTAATTTAACATCACTACTTTGGCTCAACTTGTTTTGTTAATTATTTGAATGAGTCGAACTCCTTCAGTCGACTCGATTAATTAAGCTCGAGAATAAGAATTTTCTACGTAATTTTTTAAGTTTTTAACTTGATTCATTAAAACTAGCACGTAGCCTGTGCGATGCACGGGACATAAGTATTAATGAGTTATTTCCACATAATTTGTCCGTTAAGTAGCTCGTGTGATTCACGGGAGACATTAAATGAGTGGACCATAGGGCTTGTCCGTTCAGGCCTAAAAAGTAATAGAGTTTGATCATCTATCTTTTTACATCTTTTCATCAACGTCATTTTTTTTGTCGGAACATTAAACCTGAGTCTGGTAGCGCTAGCCCGTAAATTAATTAATATATTATCTCGCTCACATGTTTATAATAATATAAATTTGATTTCAATAATATATTTATTCATTGATATAAGAAAAATAACAATTTTACGTAATCTTGTTCCTCGTATAATACTTATATTATTTCATTATAAAATTTATTGTAGTATACTGTCATTATTATTATAAGTTATAGATGTAATCTTTTTCTTCTTTTTGTTTTATGTAATTAAAATCTTTAATCTATGTTCATATTATTTATTAATGTAATTAATTTAAATTATGTAAATAAATTTAAAGTAAAACATTTTGTACAAACATTTTACAAAATATACACAAATGTTTTTTTAGAATTTAATTTTTTTACAATAAATAACAGCTTTGAAATTATATGCAATTATTAAAACTGATTAAATCTGCTTTATTAAAACCGATTAAATCTTTATTTATAGGTTTGACATTAAAACCAATTTATGAGATTATTTTAACTAAATCAATGTTATGTAATAAAACAAATTTATACTTACATTTGACTTTTTCAGCAAAGGTATAAAAATCGGTTCCGATTTTTATCCCATAACAAATCTTTAATGTCAAGCTATAAATACCAAAACAAATTTATAATTAATGTCATTCTATTTCCAGCAAACATTAATTACTTTTGATTTTTCTTTATACTAAATCTAGTAAATGGGATACTTTTTAATATAAGTATAGATTAAGTTCAACTTACTAATATTAATGAACTAATATTAATGAACGTGTTGATGAACTTGGACTCATTAAAAACAAGAGCTGAACTATTAACATTAAAGTTCGAAAGCATAAAGAATGTGGTCAATAACCGATCAAAAAAAGTTGTCAATAATTGCATTTTTATTTCTTAGCGGTGTTGTAATATTTTTCACATTCAATTATTGCATTTTGCGTAACAGTACATTACTGCTTCACTTTGTACGGCTATTATCACATGCAATAATTATTTGGGTAGTATATATAACTATATATAATATATACATATAATTTAAGGAGCAATGATATAAGTATATAATAGTGTACATAGAAGTGTATATAACACTCACATGGGGTGGGTCCTACCAAAAATAAAAAATCAAGTAGACCCCACTTCATAAGAGTGTTATGTACATCTATATATACATTTATTATGTACTTATAGCATTTTTCTAGTAAAAATATACTTGTCTATAATATAGGTTGTAATAAAGTAAATAAAAGTCCTAATGCTTGAATTCTAACTTTGCTACATATAAAACTTGAATTGGATGATAAGTTCAAATAAACTTGTGTGGGTAACTAATTATAGCCAGAAATTCGTTCCCAGATTTAGTATTTTATTCATTTATTTTGTAAAATTAATCTTAATATTTTAAATTTCGAGCTAGAGTCAAACTTAGAAAGGATTAAATTTGATCTTAAATAAAGTTGTTATCTAAAAAGGGCTAATTCACACCATAAATGGGACAAAGCCAGACCATACACATAGCCATCAGTCTCCATTAATTTGGGTAACGTTACATTTACAAACAATAAAGACAATATTGAAGAGCTTCAATTGGAGATGATGAGTTATGCAAAATTCCAAAATCATTTATTGGCAAGTATTCAAGTAGATTTGTTTTTTCGAGAAGAGTATATGAGGGAGAATTAGAATACACATACATATACTATTGCTATTCAAGTAAATTGAGAGCCATTCACTCTACCTAACTCCAATTTAACTTCTCTCTTTGCTTGTAGCCTAGCGCCCCAATTATTTATTGTGATTTTTTGAATTCTTTTCCACCATGAATTTATGAGCTTTTATTTTACAGAAAAATTGGTTGTTGCACTTGCACCTATAAGTCAATTGTGACAGAGCTTTGTAAGTACGGCAGAAAGAAAATATATCACATGTATGTACCTATACAATCTCTTTGCTGAAAAAGCTTGAAATCTCGAACAAACCTCTTGATTCTCAGAGAAGACAACACAAAAGTGTTTTGCTCTCTCTCATTTCCCCTGATTCTCAAGAGTATGTTGTTCTGCTTAATTTTGAGATTTTTAATTTTTTATTTTCTTTTTTTTTTTATTTCTTTTTCTGTTTTTCCTTTGTGAAAATTTCAGGCAGATTTTTGTGCATCTATTTGTTTATAGTTATTCATCCATTTGGCGTCTCTGTGTTGCTGCTAGTACCAACAAAGGTTCATGTATCTAGATTTTACTTGTTAAACGAAACGAGTTACTCGTGACTCAGCTCGTTAAAGCTCACCNTTTTCTAACATTTGATTTTCACACAGCCATGAGCAATGGATTGCAAGAGAGGCTGCTCGGTTCAGAAACAGCCGATTTGAAGGGTCGAATTTGTGATGAATCGAAGAAAATATGGCGAGTCGCATTGCCAAGCGTGATCTCCCGAGTCACCTCGTTCGGTTGCGTAATTATCACTCAGTCGTTTATCGGCCACATAAGCGCGGTTGATCTTGCCGGTTATGCCCTCGTCCAGACGTTAGGCGTTCGATTTGTGAACGGGATTTTGGTAAAAAAACAAAACCAAAACAAAAAAAAATAAAGTTTCTTTGTCCATGGAAATCATGCCAAGGGCGTGCTTGTTTACAAATAAATCCGCTCGAAATGAGTTTTTTCGATTAATCAGGTTAATTTTGAAAAAAAATAGATGGTTAGTTGTTAGTTGGATTTGATTTTATATTAAAATATATTTAAAATAAATTAGTTAAAATTGATTTGATATACAAAGAGAAGAAAAATGATGTGAAGTGATAGTTACTTAAAATTATGTGAGTGGATGAATAGTGAATTAAAGTTGATGTAATGTGTAAGAATGATTAGTTTATATTATTTAATTATATTAATAATATTGAAGACAACGACGTTGAGTTAAATTTTGAATATGAATTGAATGTAAATGAATTATTTTGTAAACAAACATGCTCTAAAGTTGTTTTTTTTTCATGCTACATTATGTTCACTTGCATTAAAAACGACCATTCACGCGCAAAATGTTCTTCTTCATGTTTCTCTAGTTAAGGTGAAAAATTTCTATATTTCTTTATTTATTTATTTTTTTTCAGATAGGAATGTCGAGTGCAACCGAGACGCTTTGTGGGCAAGCGTTCGGAGCCAAACAATACCACATGATGGGCATTTTCTTGCAACGTTCGTGGCTAGTCGACTTATTAACACTAACCATTCTTCTTCCTCTGTTTTTCTTGGGAGGTCCGATTTTCGAGCTTTTGGGTGAAGAAAAGTCGATAGCCAAGTCGGCCGGTTTCATATCCCTATGGTTCATTCCTTACTGCTACGCGCTCGTGTTTGGGCTCACGATCCAAATGTATCTTCAGGCCCAACAGAAGAACTTAATTTTAGCCTACCTCTCGGTTTTGCAAATGGCGGTCCATATTCCTTTGTCGTGGGCTCTCGTTTATGTTCTCGAATGGGGTGTTGGTGGGGCAATGGCGTCATTGTGTGTGTCGTTGTGGATTGTCGTGTTTTGCGAGTTCGTTTATATATTCGGAGGGTGGTGTGGGGATTCTTGGAAGGGTTTTAGTTTGGCGGCTTTGAAGGACATTTTTCCGGTGGTGAAGCTCTCGATTTCTTCTGGTCTCATGATTTGGTAGGCCGCTTAATTTGTCTCGTTTTTGAATTTTTTTTTTTTTTTANTGGGTGTTATTGTTTTATTAAGCTATTTGAGGGAAGAGACGGAATTCAAAGACGTGTTTTTTTTCGAGTAGTGTCGTGTCAGAACTAAAAGTATTGCGAGCATTTTTCGAGTGGAGGTGTGTCTGTTCGAGAAAGACTTGAACTTTAGTGCTGAATTTGATGGGTGATTGTTGTGAGCTGAATTTAAATATCATTCATCAGAACAAATATGGGAGCTATTATCTGTTTTCTTCTCATGTTACTGATTTTTCGAGTAGCTTCATTAATCGGATGGTTCTTAAAACATGATATTCACCTTACAACAATTACCCAGCAAAATTCAACACTAAAGTTCCAAGTCTTTCTCCAACAGTCTTACGAAAATGCTTTAGTTTTGACACAACACGACTCGAAAAAACACGACTTTGTCTCTTTTTGTTTTTTTTTTTTGTNGGGTGTTACTGTTTTAAGCTATTTGATGGAAGAGATAGTAAAAATTCATTCAAAGTCATGATTTTTTCGAGTCGCGTCAAAACTAAAGCATTTTCATAATAGAGGTATGTCCGTTTGAGAAAGTCTTGAACTTTAGTGGTGAAATTTGTTGGGTGATTCTTATAACCTGAATATCATCATGTTCAAGAACTAGCTCGTTTAATGAAGCAACTCGAAAGTCAGTAACTTGAGAATAAATATTAGTCACATTTTACATTATAACGACAACAACAGAGCCTTTTTGATTGGTTTAGATATTTTCTTTTTTGTAGCTTGGAGATGTGGTACTATGCCATCCTAGTCTTACTGGCAGGTTACATGAAAAACGCCGAAGTTGCCATATCGGCTTTCTCCATATGGTGAGTTTGCTTGCTCTATTCCCTTCAAACCCTTTCATTTACGCTTTTTTTCCCTTCTGTTTTCTGCTACGTTTTTTAAAATTTTCGACTGATAGTCGTAAGCGAACTACTTTTTTTTGCAGCCTCAACGTTAATGGATGGGAATTCATGATATGCTTAGGTATTCTTGGCGCCGCATGGTACACTATTCAATGAAAAATCTATAGATATTCTTTCATCATATCATCAAACATTTCTCTTTTTTCTCTTATGACTTTCATTTTTTTTTATATATATATTTTTATGTGTAGCGTGCGTGTTGCGAACGAGCTTGGACGAGGGGATGCAAAAGCCGTGAAATTCTCGATAAAAGTTAATCTCACTACTTCGGTTGTGATAGGGCTATTGTCTTGGATCCTTTGTTGGGTCTTTGGCCAAAAGCTCGGCTACTTGTTCACGGACGACGAGGCAGTTGTAAGAAGCGTGTCGGATCTCTCTATTCTGCTTGCTTTCTCGGTTTTGTTCAACAGCATTTATCCCGTTTTCTCAGGTTTTGTTTTTCTTTCTTTATTTTATTCGTCATCGTATGTACTAATTTTTTTTTTCCTTTTTCTTTTTTATTTTTTTGTGCTAAATTTCTCTCTTGTTTCATTTCGCGATATAGGTGTGGCTGTTGGGGCAGGCATGCAAGCAATGGTAGCCGTTGTAAACATCGTTTGCTTCTATCTGATTGGACTTCCGATCGGGCTCGTGCTCGGGTATCTTGTCGGTTTTCAAGTAAAGGTAAAACCACTCGTCTTATTTTCGATTGTTTGTGTCGCGAACCGATTCTTGATTATTCAAAGAGATGTGTTGATCACAATTCACAAATCTATACAAGAATGGATTTTATAGGAGAATCTACTTAGCTATAATAATATTTCGAAGAACGAGAAATCTGCTATTAGGCTGACCTATCCGTTAATTTAACCTATACTTTTTTTTAACAAGTATGTCGAATTTCATTCACAAGTAACGTACTATAAAAAACAAGATAAATAAGAGTACGACATTTGATAGTGTAAATTGGTTCATAAAGTATGACGGGTCGATTTACTTATTAATCGTTAGTTTGTCTCACACAAGAAGACATGTGATCAATAATTTGGATTTTTTTTTTCCTGGAAATTTATTTTTGGACCATTGAGTAGATATATGTAATTTCAAAATTGAAAGTTAATTGTGATGTGAATAGGGCTTATGGATTGGAATGCTTTGTGGGGTTATCTGTGAGACTCTTGTGCTAAGCTTCTTAATGTGGAGGACTAACTGGGATGAAGAGGTAATTTAATTCTTCCTTTTTCTCTTGGAAAAAACAAAAATTAAAATAATAATTATTTTTTTTTCAAATGTTTATGAGTAGAATTTAAGGTGAAATAATTTGGTGCATGCTAACAAAATATTTTATAAATATTCCGCAGGTTCTAAAAGCATCTGCTCGTCTCAAAAAGTGGTACCTTAAGTCTCCTGAAGAAGCTACTACTTGAAGGAATTGGAGATTTACTGCTATTTTTTCAAGACATTTCTATTAATATTGGGAGCTCAATGACTGTTTTTTGTTGGGTTTTCCAATAAATGTTCTATTGAAACATTCTTATACTCCCTCCTTTTTTTGTCGTTTTGAGAAGTTGCACAGTAATTAAGAATTTTTTTTTATCAATAATAACCAGGGGCGGATCTAAAAAAAACTTTTAGGGTGACTAGAGTTGTTATTCGAACAAAACTGTTTAAGAACACAGCTCAGTTTGACTTGTAAAATCTCTAGCTAAGCTTGTTGTTATAATTAAACGAACTATTTTCAAACACTTCATCGAATTTATGTATTAACTGAGTTGGGTCTCACTTTTTTCTTAAAGGAGTCAAGTCGTGCTGACTCATTTATTAATCAAATACAAGCTTGGGCATGAGATATTTTTTGCTTTACTCCACTTGAATAATACCTTTAGAGAGGATATATAATTTTTTATAACACACATGCAAGGCATATAATTTCTTATATATTAAATAGATAAAAAAAATAATAAAAATGCTCTACAAAATATATAACTTATGAATTGTTGTATTTTAAAATTTTGCTTGAGATTATTTTAGATCAAAAGACTCATTAATAATTGTTTTTTTTTTTTTTCTTTAAGGGGATTCTTTAATAATTGACTAAGTGTTAATAGTTATTGCGATTACTTTAAGAATAGATGACGTGGGGGTGTGACATGGAGGTTCATTTGTCTGATGAATGCCACGTCAATTTACTGACATGCCATGTCAGCGTCACGTGGTCGAAATGTGATTTCGAGACACAATTACAATACTTATTAAATGTTTGGTATTTTTTTTTGCCAAGTTAAAAAGGTGAAGTTTTATGTGTAATTAAACAAAAGGTTAGGATTTTAAATGCAATTAACACTTAAAAGAATAACTCTCTAGTTCATTTAAAAATAAATATACTTTTATAGCACCTAAAATTAATTATTATTTTTAATATGACATTTAAAAAAAATAATAATATTCAACTAAAATAGCTTATTTAAAAATGTTTTTCGGATTAAAATATCATTTCTGAATATGAAATCTCTCCACCATGCCCTCTCGCCGTTCGATCTCGTCGCCGGCCGACGCCTTCAGCTGAAGAAACCGGCGCTTCTCGGCGGATACTCCTCTCAAGCTTGTCTGCCACACGCGCCGCCGTCTCGTCTTGAGCGCGTCCTCCTAAGTAGCAGGTAACGATATGTGTAGATTTGTAGTCGTGCTGATGCTGGAATCCCGTTTAGCAGGAACCTTTTGAAACTCATCTCGTAGCTCGATTGCTATATCAGGCTCGCGGGCAATCGATTTGATTAGCTTTCTAGTAATTTTTAGGGTTGTTAGCTGCTTTTGAAGAATATAATAATTAGACATTGTCTTTACGGTTGAGCTCCTTTTTCTCGATTTTTTGTCATCCACTGATATGAAGATTCACTGAAAATCTGGGAAAAATATCCTAAATCCGACGTTATTTGATGCGCTGATCATGAATTTCGGGTGATTTTGGATGATTTTAACAGAAAAATTAAGTGTGGGTGTGTTAGTTTCAAGATATGCATTGGCTTTATTTGTGTTTTATCAGTTGTCTTATCAGTTTCAAGATATGCATTGTGTTTTATTTGAGTACCATCATCCAAGTACACCTAAAATGTTTGTTAGCATTGGATGATTGTACTTTTTCCCCACATGCTAAAGTTCAGTCGATTTTGGTCAAGGGACATGTATTGTTGAACAGGTCTTTTTATATTTTGCTATAGTTAATTTGTTTAGTTAGTTCAAATCCTATTTTAAACCTCTGTCAATCTGATTTACATCTTAAATTATTTATCCATACGTCACTCGCACTTTGTTTGATCATCTCTAGAAGGAATGAAGAAAAGAGTTGAGCCAACAATTTATTTACAGCCGATAAAATCTTAAAGCAGATAATCAATTTTCTTGACTTTATTTTGCCTTATGTCTTTGCAATTCTTTAACAGAAGCATTCTGTATAGCGATATTGGAAGATGCTAGTTGTGGATTAGTATTAACAATTATATTATTGTTTTCACTTTACCTGGCTAATTAAACATTTCTGTAAAAAATGTGTAATTTTGCACAGGTTTGTGAAAAGTAAACCTTTATCTTGATAGGTTCTTCCTGATGATATGATTGTTCTTGCAGAGTTGGCAATAATGAAAGCAATAAACTTTGAACCCAATAATTAAACAAGCAATGCATGATCATGTGAGTTTCCTGACAGATATTTTAAGGAGATTATTCAAGATCAATTTTTCATGTCTCTAAATATAATCATCACCATAGAAATTTTTGAACCCAAATTATCAGAAAGGTAAAAGGAGGTGTAGCATTGTGTTTGCGTACATGATTCTGGATTTTATTAAGCATAAATGGCATGGTGATTGTTGCATATTCATTCACAGTCTCATCAGTTATTTTGGTTGCTTGGGCTATTAAACTGGAACCCAAAGAAAAAAGGGTAAAAAATTGCTCAAATCTTGGTTGACAATAGAGAGCTCAAGCACATTGTATTGATGGCAACCACAATAATATTCAAACGACCAAACCTATTAAGAGCGTGTTTAGTAAGCACCATAAGCTAGCTTATAGCTTATTTGGTTAACTTATAATGTAAGATTTAGAGAATCGGGGCAAGAGGGTGCGATCAGGGTGGGCCTAGGTGCACCATAGTGAGGTTTCATCCCAAAACCAATTGGTAATGAGAGGAGTAGCCTACTAGGTATATAAGCTAGGCCAATTTTCCTATAAAATCAATGTGAGACAACTCACAAGTGATACTCCAACATATAAGTTTTATGTATACAAATAAGTTTGATTTGGTAGGACGAACTTTTCAAAAAGATCGAGCTTATCTCATAAGATTTTTTGGGTAGTTTTTCAAATAAGCCTATTGAAATTTTTATTTCAGCTAGTTTATCAGTTGATTTTGCCGGATACTTTTATCATGTCAACTAGTTTTTTAGCATAAACTATCAGCTATAAGCTCAAAATTCACTTGTAAGTTATCAACTAGTTTTCCAAAAATAGCATAATATTATTGAGTATGCTATATGGGATTGCCAGTACATGATGGTTTTTTCTCTATTAACATTTTCTTCCTTTTTGTGTTTGGTTTATTCATTTATAGGTCCCTCACTTGTGGTGCCTGGGCAGGCAAGCTCTTTTCCTTGGTCATGATAGTCAATTTCTTGTTTTGGCGTCTCTTGCAGCTCTTAAAGGTACGTATTTTAGGTCTTTCTTATATAATACCATTTTTCCACAGTCCATATTGTGACTTTTACAATGATTCATTAACTCATTGTCAAAAAATATATCGTAAATGTTTATGAAATTCCGGCAGCAACATCGACGTTGTTCCTGATGTTAATCTCACAAGTCGTCCAAATGGAGAAGAGAATGCGCCGAGCTTGACGAAGTCAAATGCAGACGGTAAATTTCCTACAATTTGCTGACTGAAAAGATCGTATTTTTTTTCTTGGGTGTTGGTTTTACAAGCATCCAATATGCACATTCATTGAGTATAGATTTTGCATTTGCTTGAAAACATTTTAATGTATGACCTTTCTCTCTCTTGATTGTTGTTTGTAGTTTGTAGTTTATCTCCAAAATAAAGGGAGTGCGAACAATGTGTGAAAAGCATGAGTGGACTAGTCTCATTATAGTAGTCAATTTTCTCATCCATAGACTGGTCCACATGAATGAATATGCAGGTTTACACTTTTTTTGGCAATTTTTTCTTGTTTCAATAATTCACTTAGATACATACATATATATATTCACATACATGCACACACGTGTATAAATCTTAGGAATCATTTTGTATTTATTCTGAATAAAATAATCTCTCATTGATGTGTATTTGTTTTGAATAAAATAATCTCTTTCTACATCCTTCACCATAAGGATGTAAATGTTGTTATTATTGCATATTTTTATTTATATTGTTTTTATAAAGTATGATATTTACGTTGTGAAATTTTATGGATCTATAAAAAGCAATTTGACATCAACTTTCCCTGGAAACTAGCTTTTGACGTGCTACTTTTAGGACCACATGATTTCTATTGATAATGAAAAATGAGATGAATTAATTTCGTCCCAGTTGGTGGGATCTGATTCTGATGACCTGCACCACACGACACATGACTTGATGCTGAGTTAGATGTCCTATTTTTAGCATACATCTGTTATTATCTATTTATTGGTATATACTCCATCCTATTTTTTTTATTTGTTATTTTCGTCTTATTCATCATTAATCAAATAAATGACATTTTGGAACCTTTATATTCATACTGATGACATTTCGTCCCAGTTGGTGGGATCTGATTCTGATGACCACTGCACGTTTTGGGAGGAAAGTTGTGGAAAACAATGAGCTTTATCTCTCTTCAAATAACATAAAAAGGCTGAAAAGAAAAAAATTAATTAATGTTAGTTTGCTTTAAATAAGGCTAATATTGACAAGATTTTTTTTTTATTTATGTATTAAAGTACACAACGACATTTAAAAAGAATAGGAGGGAGTATAAACAAAATCCCAAATTTGTTCATTTGAAAATGAAATTAGATGTCACGAGCATAGTTTTTCAACCCAAACTGGCCCGATGAGTCGACTCGGAGCGAGAACCGTCTGGGTGGGTTATTCTGACCGGGTAGCAATGGATCCGGTCAATCGGTCAAAACCTGGTCAACCCAGCATTGACCCAGTCTACTCGGGGCATTTACCTGACTGGGTCGACCCGGTTGACCCGGCCTCTATTTTTTTTGTTTTAAAATATTTTTTATATTAAGAATAGAAACTATGTACATATATTTATATGGTAAATATTTATTATGAGATACAATTTTATTAACATTTTGATGTACAAATTTTATATACAAACATTTAATTTTATTACTTTTATGGATATTTATATACAAAAATACTATATATATATTTTTTAAAATTTTAAAATTAATTATTCAGTTAAGCAATTGACTCGATGACACGACGGTTGAACTGGTTACCCGAAGACCTGATTCTCTGGCCGGGTTTAAAAACTATGGTCACGAGCATTGCTCAACAGCCCGGTTTTCATATTGGAAAATTTCGAACCAAAATTGAACCGCGGAATCCACAATTTTGAAGTCGGGTTTGCAACCTAAATTCAGAACAAATAATTTTGGTCTTACACAAATGTCCTTGTCACCCTCATAATTATGATATTCTACAAAATGTCCCATCATTTTCTGGTTCCTCGACAGTATTGTTCGTAAATAAAGATAGTTCAACACTATATATCAGCACAAAGCTTCCAAAAGTCATCTTCCTCATAAATGGTAAGAGCACTGCAAAAGGAACTCAAGAAAATTAGAGCCCTTATTCACTGTCTAATTTAAAAAAAAGATATTAATCCATTTACATGGATTTCTAAGTAATTTTATCAAATATTTTGTTAGTATTATATCTCATGAATTTTGATCATTATAATTTATCTCATACGCATTCATAATTTTAAATTTAACTCACTTTTTTCATCTCATTTTCGGAACGAAACATTTTTTTATTATGCTTACATCGCACCCTTAATTTCTTCATTTTATTTACCAATATTTTTTAAATGAATGAAAAAAAAATGAAATGGAAAATTATTGAACCAAACAAGAAATTCCAACAGAAAAAAGTTTGTACTTACTACTTTTTGACATTAAACAGTAACAAACCATTTCATGTAGTTATTCAATTATGTGAAGATAGTTTAAGTGAAAGTAGTTGGATGTATTTAATAAGTAATGATAAAGTTCCTCAAATATATTTGTTATTTTACTCAGAAACATCAAATCCCACCTAATCACCATTATTTTCTAAATCCACTGGCCTGGCACAGTACATCTTTGAATGTTACATTGTTTTGATTGATAAAGTCACACATAAAAATCATTTTTCTGATAATATGCTAATAATTTTGAAGAATTTCGAACCGAAACGTATCGAACTGTAGACTCCACAATTTTGAAGTTGGTTTTGCAACCCAAATTTAGAACAAATAATTTTGTTCTTCCACAAATGTCCTTGTCACCCTCATAATTATGATATTCTACAAATGTCCCATCATTTTCTGGTCCCTCTTCGTAAATAAAGATAATTCAGCACTATATATCAGCACAAAGCTTGCAAAAGTCATCTTTCCTCATAACTTATAAGAGCACTGCAAAAGGACCTCAAGAAAATTAGAGCCCTTATACACTGTGTAAGCATCACGATGTGTGTGCCTTTTCTCTTTATTGTTTTTTTTAATCAATACTTGTGCTTCTCAATGTGTTTGCATTTTTGGAATTATTTAATATCCAAAGGATTTTGCGTCTTTGATGATTTAGTAAATGTAAAATATAAGTTGCTGATGATTTATCGACATATTTCATTTATTTGCTGAGATCAAATTACTTTTCCTAAAGTATGTTATCATTTATAATAAAAATGTTATTCTATCAGTTCAAGATTAAGGTTGTCATTGAATGTGTTCACTATAATTTTGCTAGATGACCTTAGAGGCCGTACAAGAAGCCTTTTTTTTTTTCGGTCTAGAGCTAATTGGACATAGATTTTTTTTTTTTCATTTTCTTTGTCGAGTTAAAGATTTATATCATTGACGATATTATTTTACATAAATGCTATTCCTTTTATCTCATTTTTTTTCTATAACCTCACTAGAACGATTAAATAATAAAAAATAATTAAATCTAATTTAGAAAGAAATTATTCATCCACTTACATATATTTCTAAGTAATTTTATCAATTAATATTTTGTTATTTTTATATCACACGAATTTCTATCATTATAATTTTATTTCATTCGCATTCATAATTTTAAATTCAACTCACTTTTTTCATCTCTTTTTTTGGGAACAAAACTTTTTTTTTTTGTTCGAATAAATCTTACATTGCACCCTTAGTTTCTTCATTTTGTTTACCAAATTGTTCAAAATGAATAGAAAAAAAAAATGAATTCGAAAATTGTTGAACCAAAGAAGTAATTCCAACATCAAAAAGTTTGTACTTTTTGACATTAAACAGTAAAAAAACCATGTGATGTTATTCAATTATGTGAGGAGACTTTAAGTGAAAGTAGTTGGACGTATTTAATAATTAATAATGATAAAGTTCCTCAATCAATAATGGTAATAGTAATTAATAATACCTTAATCATATCTCCTGGCACCCGCCACATGGTGATTTGTTTAGTTAGCTGCCAAAGTTTAAATTTGCTTCATCCCTATAATTTATAAGGTACATAATTTGGCAAGACATGTAACAATAAAATATTTTTTATGCATGGTTTTTTTCTGACTGACTTTACACTAATCACCATGATATAATATATAAATAAATGAAAAAAAAAACTAGTTTTTCTTACAAGGAGAGTTTCTCATAAACACAAACAAAACAAACGATTTACTTTTTCTTTTCCTTTTTTTTTGTTTATTAGTCATTTTTCTCAAATTTCAGGTAATGTATTTCATCTTTAGTTGTTATCTAGAGAATTGAATTTTCTTTATGATTGCATATTATTGAATATGTTCTTTTGTTTTCTTATAGAACCATGGATGATAATGGCATAAAAGAGAGCCTGCTTCTTGTGAGCTCAAAAGCAGAACAGAACACTGATTTGAAGGCAAGGATTTATGATGAATCTAAGAAAATATGGAAAGTCGCATTGCCGAGCGTCGTTTCGCGAGTGGCTTCGTTCGGGACCATAGTCGTGACCCAATCGTTTATCGGACACATAAGCTCGGTCGACCTCGCGGCCTACGCGCTCGTCCAAACCGTAGCCGTCCGTTTCGCAAACGGCATACTGGTAATATTTTGAAGCGTAAAAAACATTTTTTTGCAATTTATAGTATATTTCTTGTTAAAATGCAATCCGAACTTCATGAACATTCATAATTTGCAATCTATCTTACATTTTGACCATACAAGTTTTCATTTTTTCTAAATGATTGTATAGTCAGGTTGCAAATTATGAATGCTCATGAAGTTAAGGTTGCATTTCACCAAGTAAAATACTATATGTTGCAAAGTCAAAAGATAACGTACAGTGCAGGTTGTAATGTTTTACCCTATTCTAATGAGTCGGGTTGTGTCATGGAAAATTAGGCTCGAAAAATAGATTGGNTTTTGACAACTCTATTTCGATCTGTTCCGCATATGCGAGCTCGAGTCACTTATGTGACATGAAAAAAATGATTTTTCGAGTATTGGTTGAAAAAAAAAAGTGTATTGGAATTTAGTCCTAATTTTGATTTTGATTGTGCTCTTAGTTTATTATCAATGGCTAAGGCATTCTACATTGCTCCTCAACAACAAAATCTCCGCATTCCTCCATTTTCTCCAATTTCGAATAATATTTATAGTACAATACCCGTGTATTACACGGGTGCTTATTAAAAAAATATTCTTAAATTTTAAAATTAATAAGAAAAATTAATTTAAATTTTATTTACTTTCTTACAAAAATATATATTATTCTATATTTTAGAAAGTGCGACTTACATGTGTTTTATTATAGTAATTTTTATAACTTATATCATATAACTATTTGAAATATAAATATATTAATTGATAAATGATTTTGTTTTTCTAATTAATATTAAAAAATAATTTTATTATTGTTATAAAGATAAATATAATTTATTTTTTTTAAACATACAATATGGATGTTAAATCGAAGCTCATCAAGAGAATTTGATATATTATATATATATATATAACTGATAAAAAATACAAAAGTTATGAACTTTTAAAATATATTTACAATTCAATGGTTATAATAAGAAATAATATTAAAATGCAGTTAATACATGTAACATGACCATAAATAATCAACATATTTAGGATAATCCGGACCTAATTATTTTGGACTGGAAATAAATTAAAATCTACCCAAACCTAATAACAGAGCATGTAATATTGCCACATAGGATCCCGAAGGATGCGAGCCTGCAACTTAGGCTCAACCCGTTCTGAATCAATAGGGATTTTATTTTTATTTTTCGAAATCGTCACCTTTTTTTTACTTCGGCAGATAGGAATGTCGAGCGCGACCGAGACCTTATGCGGCCAAGCGTACGGCGCCAAACAGTACCACATGATGGGAGTTTATCTGCAGCGCTCGTGGTTCATAAACCTCGTCACCCTCACCCTTCTAATCCCACTCTTCCTCTACACGACCCCGATTTTCGACCTGCTCGGCCAGCTACACGAAATTTCAAAATCCGCGGGTTACGTTTCTCTATGGTTCATTCCCTTTCTGTACGGACTCATATTCAGCTTGACCGTACAAATGTACCTTCAAGCCCAGCAGAAAAACGCTGTCATCGGGTGGCTCTCGGCCGTCCAGCTGCCGATCCACGTGGCGCTGAGCTGGCTCTTTATGAACGTGATGGGTTTGGGGGTGTCGGGTGCAATGGGGGCGTTGTTGGTGTCTTCGTGGTTTGTGGTTTTCGGGGAGTTTGTGTATGTGTTCGGGGGTTGGTGTAGGGACACGTGGAAGGGATTCACGTTGGCGGCTTTTCACG